CTCTACAATTTGAGCCAGGCCTCCTTCAGCCCTGTTCTTTCTGTTTATTTTGGAGACAGTCTTACTGGAGTTGAGCCATAATCACCCAACTCTTCACCTTCTGATTAGCAAGGATTACAGGCATGTATTATAAGCACCCAACCCATGTATTATTTTTTTTAAATGTAAAGAATGGTATTTTTGTGACTTTTATTCTATAAAAACAACTTTAGGAACTGGGAAGTTGGCTCAGTGGTAAAGTGCTTGCCTTGCATGCATGAGGCGCTGGGTTTGATTCCTTAGCACCATATAAGCCGAAAAAAGCTGGAAGTGGTACTGTGGTCAAGTGGTAGAGCGCTAGCCTTGAGCTGAAGAGCTGAGGGACAGTCCCCAGACCCAGAGTTGAGGCCCCATAACTGACAAAACTAACAATAAAAAAATAATAAAAACAACTTTAGTTAGGACTTAACTATTACATTGGTGGCTGACAATTCCCCATGTATACTGATTTATCCTATTGGCTAGTGATTAATTATATGGAATTAGAAAAAGGTGGTTGGGAAATTAAAGAAGTATAAAACACAATCCAGTGATAATGTATTTCATCAAGGTAATAAAGAATAAAAATAGCTGACTTAGCTCTTAAAAAGATGTGTTTAATTTTCTTCTTCTATTTCTCCTGTAATAAAATAGTTCTGAGGAGTTCCTCTGCTTTTCATCATGGATTTCTTTTTCTGTTATTTCCTCTATAAAAACCCAAGCTTACCCTCTGTATAGTAGCTTTACAATAAAAAAAAAAAAAAAAAAAAAAAAAAAACCCAAGCTTTCTGTTAGATACAACTTTTTTTTCCCCCAAAATATGGCCTTAGTAGAAGCCGTCTTCATGTGAGTCATGAAAAACATTAATTAGACCATATTTCTATAAACTAAAATTTCCTCTTTCTGGCAGAAATGTTCTCAAGTATTCTTATCAAAATGTATCTGTTTATATACATATGCACACACATGAAAAACCCTAGCCTTTTATAGTTCTGTTTGTTTGTGCCAGTACTGGGATTTGAATCAAGGCCTCACACTTTTTTTTGCACATTCTGGGTCACAGCTCTCCTTTCTGCTGTTTGATGGTTGATGGGAAATAAAAGTCAGTGTTCCTTTGAACACTGTAATTCTCAAATCTCAGCTTCTTAAGTAGCTAGGACTATAGGGTTAAGCCATCAGTTCCTAGAAACCTTTTACTAATTCTAGCAAATGAGTTTTAGCCTGACCCTTTTCATAAATCTTTATGGGGCTTGAACTCAGGGCCTAACATTGTACCTGAGCTTTTGTGCTTAAGCCTAGTGTTCTACCACTTGAACCACAACTATACTTTCAGCTTTTTGATGATTAATTGGAGCTATGAATCCTGCCCAGGCTGGCTTCTGACCTTGAGCCTCAAAACTCAGCCTTCTGAGTAGGTAGGATTATAGGTGTGAGCCACTGGTGCCTAGTCACAAATCTCTTTATTTGTGGTGCTTTTTTTTTTTTTTTTTTTTAATTGTAAAGATACTATACAGAGGGTTACAGTTACATGAGTGAGGTAATGAGTACACTTCCTCTTGAACATTGTTACCCCCTCCATTGTTTTCCCCCTACCATCCCCTCCCTCCCTCCCTTCCCCGAGGTTCTTTTTTTTTTTTTGATTGTGATTAAGTGATTACATAATTTCCAGAATTTCACAGTATTGTGGAATAATGATGCTCATTTAAAGTCACAAGTTCATTCTAACTTTCCTGGAGCAAATTGTCTATCACAGTCTGTAATATATAACGGTGTTCACATGTTATATACCATATATGTGATCAGCAGCATGGGGATATTTAGTAGTGGTTCAACCAGATGAGTGGGAGTTCTTTGTTTCTTAAGGCCTGTTAGTTTTGTCATATCACCTAACATTTTGGATTTAGCATCCACTATCAGGGAGACCATGTACCGTTTGTCTCTTCGTTCTTGGCTAACCTCGCTCAACAAGATTCCTTCTAGCTCCATCCATTTCCCTGCAAATGCCATTATTTTGTCATTTCTAATGGCTGCATAATATATTTGTGGTGCTTTTTAATGTTTTTTTTTCTTTTGAATCCTCTCATTTCAACAAATAGATTTGGATGTATAGATGTATTAGAACTAAATCACTCAAAATTAAAAAAATAAAAAGTCATCTAGTACTTCTGAGGAAGAAAGAAAATTTTTCTTTTTTTTTGGGTCAGGTCGTGGGCCTGAACTCTGGGCCTGGGCGCTGTCCCTCAGAGCTCTTCAGCTCAAGGCTAGCGCTCTACCACTTGAGCCACAGCGCCACTTCCGGCTTTTTTTTCTGCTTATATGGTGCTGAGAAATCGAACCCAGGGCCTCAGGCATGCAAGGCAAGCGCTCTACCACTGAGCCACCTTCCCTGCCCGAAGATTTTTCTTTCATTGAATCTCTAGTCAGACATGGCCATATTTTTTTTTTTTTGGAGGGAGTACAGTGGGTGGTAGGGTCACACTTCTTGGCAGGTATTCTTTCACTTGAACTTTTTGCATTGATTATTTTCAAAGTAGGGTCTCATTTCATACCTGCAGTCCCCCTGTGTTCTCCCTTGTTGCTGGGGATGACAGGCATTCAGCACTGAATCCAATCATTGTGCTTCTCCCGTAGCTGAGTTAACAGATATACACCATCATGCCCAGCTATTATTACTTGAGTTGGTATCTCACAGACTTTTAAGACTGGGTAGGCTGACCTTGAACCATCTCTTCTGTTCTCCACATCCCAAATAGGTAGAATTACCAGCTTCTGAAAGGAAAATAGTATGGAATCCAATTCTTAAAGAGTAGATGTATTGGGGCTGGGAAGGTGGCTCAATGGTAGAGTGTTTGCCTTGCATATATAAAGCCCTGGGTTCAATTCCTCAGCACCACATAAGCAGAAAAATCAGGAAGTGGCGCTGTGGCTCAGTGGTAGAGTGCTAGCCTTAAGCTGAAGAGCTCAAGCCCAGAGTTCAGGCCCCATACCCACAAAAAAAAAGTAGATGTATTGAAGTTGAGTTGAAGAAAATTATCTGACAACGGAAGGGCCACAGTTCTACCAAATGCCTTCTACAAGGATATCAGAAGGGGTAAAATAAAATAAGTGGTCTGGCGGGAGGGGTCATAGTAGAAAGGTAGTCAGATTGGAACTTTAGTAGGGGATAGGGCACATTACTTGATGAGGAAAAGAAAACCTCATGTCATGTGAAACAATAGAATTTGTAAGGCTTGAATTATTTATTTAAGCATCAGGTTTAGTTGTGCAAATGGGTGAGGTAACTGAGAGGTAGCAGTCACACTAAAGACACTCAGTTGAGACTAGTTTGCCAGTATTATTAGAATGCCCTGTTAACAGTAAACTGAAGCCCACTGATCCTCTCAAGTCTCAGAGGAGTCTTATCTTAGTTGGCCAACTACTTTTGCCAAAAAAAAAAATTGTTTCTTCAATACACAAGATTTTAGTTAAACATTCACTGATAGTTCTAGTAGGAGTTTAAGAGACTTAAGAGAGTTTTAAGATACGTGTACTGTTGGATTTTTATTTTTACAAGGTAGTTGGTGATAAAGAATTCTAGGCAGTACACTAAGCAAAATGAGAATTTTTCTTATTTAGCAGCCATACCTAAATGCTTCATTTTGATTCTAACCTGAGTTAAATGTTCATTAAAATACTATGGTAAGCTCCAATGTAAATTAAACAGTGTTGGATTTCTAGAATGTTTTAATGGCACCAAAACTACTAACCATCCAATTCCTTGGCACAATGAATAGAATTTTTCCATGGAAGTTCAGTCTGAGCGTAGGACTTGATACTAGGTCTGAGAGTAGGACTGGAACTCAGAACCTGATGCTTTTGTTCATTGACTAGTGCTCTACCAACTGAGCCATGCCTCCGGCCCCTTCCCACCTCATTAATACGTTGTAGCACATTCTGTTAGTATAATATACACAAAAGCAAAACTAGCCAGGCGCCAGTAGCTCACACCTGTAATCCTAGCTACTAAGGAGGCTAAAATCTGAGGATTGCAGTTCAAAGCCAGCTTGGGCAAAAAAGTCCGTGAGACTCTTAATCTCCAATTAAGCACCAGAAAACTGGAAGTAGCACAGTGGCTCAAGTGATAGAGTGCTTGCCTTTAGCTGAAGAGCTGAGAGGGACAGCGCCCAGCCCCACAATTCAAGTCCCACAACTGACCTCCCTCCCCCAAAAAAACTAGTGCAATTTGCGTAAGAATTGCCATTTAAAATTAAATTTTTTCTTCCTTGGTTACATAGTAGAAATCAAAAAAACAATTAAATGTCTAATAAGCATAAATAATATTTTATATTTCAGAATTTTAGTGTCTGGTATAAAGAGTATACTTCCCAAGAGATGCATTACTTTTCACTCATCAGATATTAAGGTTTTAAATAGTAATCCTTTTAAGTTGGAATACACAATCTAGTAGGCTGTCACAAGTGCAATGACAAAGTATGCTCAGAAACTACAGGCAATAGGGATTTAATTGCAGAGCAACACCCTAATGTCCTTTTATTACCTTGAAATCTTTTCAGTTGACCTTCTTCTATTATTTAATTCCATTACTTACCAGTAATTGCATTTATTGAAGCCAATGTTTCTCGTTATAGAAAATGCTGATCTTAGTGAATCTCAAGAATAGGAAGGAAAATGTTCTTTAATAAATAATTCAAAGACTTTACTACTTTTCACAATTCAATTGGTTCTATTGCCTTTTATGTCCTGAGTATCTATAAATGGTTACAAATTATAGCATGAAAAAAAAATCATCTCTATAAGGAATCTCACAATGCATGTCCCGTAATAGCTTATTGTAAGTAGGTTAAACAGGCTGCCTTGATCTTGAGTGGATACTATTAAAGAGAAGTTTGATATATTCAGCAGCCTTTACTGTTTAAACATAAAATGAGTTCTGACACTTCTAATAAGATTATTAAAGTTGAGGTTGTTGTTTTTCTTGACAGCATCAACAAAGAAAGCATCGTAGATGTAGAAGGTGTTGTGAGAAAAGTGAATCAGAAAATTGGAAGCTGTACACAGCAAGATGTTGAGTTACATGTTCAGAAGGTAAAATATAAAATTGTGAGGACTTGGACGTGGCACTGTGGCTCAAGCAGTAGAGTGCTCGCCTTGAGCTGAAGAGAGCTGAGGGACAGTGTTCAGGCCCAGAGTTCAAGCCCCATGACCAACAAAAAATAAAAATAAAATTGTGAGGACTAGAAATATACCTTTGTGCTTAGCATGCTCAAAGCCCTGGATTCAGTCACTAGCATCCAAAAAAAAAAATATGGTGGGTGTGTGCTAGAGAAAGAGAATTTTTTTTTTTTTTTTTTTTGAGAAAGAGAAAATTTTAAAGGTTTGATTCTTAGAGCAAACCACATTTTGATTGAAGTTCTGACAGATTTTTTTTTTTTTTTTGTCGGTCGTGGGGGCTGAACTCTGGGCCTGGGCACTGTCCCTCAGCTCTTCAGCTCAAGGCTAGTGCTCTACCACTTGAGCTACAGTGTCACTTCTGGCTTTTTTCTGCTTATATGGTGCTGAGGAATCGAATCCAGGGCCTCATGCATGTAAGGCAAGCACTCTACCACTAAGCCAACTTCCCAGCCCTGAGACTGATTTTTCTAAAATCAGCTTTTGTATGACACAGCAAGCCCCTTATTATATTGCTATGTACTTTAGGATAAAGTATTTGTATGTATGCTATTTTACTTTTGACAACCCTTAGAGCAGTCAAAAATAGCCTCATTTTATAGGTGAAAAATGCAGATCTTCTTCTTTGATTTCAGCGAGTAGTTTCAGTTCAAGATACATGAAAGTACTGCTTCATGTTTAAGTCAACTGTAGATTGTTTTTTAAACAACACATGCCAGATTGTGTGTGCTTCTGATTATTTTTTGCAATTTTTCTCTTCTAGATTTATGTCATCAGTTTGGCTGAACCTCGCTTGCCCCTGCAGCTGGATGATGCCATTCGGCCTGAGGTGGAAGGAGAAGAAGTAAGATTATATTAATGAATTATGCTTCTTCTGTATAGTTTGCAAAATGTTGAAACCATGATGTCCTACTTTTGGGTTAAGTGTTCCTGTGAATTGAATTGTTTTTATTTAAATTTACTCTTCAAAGGCTAGGGATGTGACTCCAGTGTAGAATGTTTGTCTAGTATGCCATGGGCTTGTGTTGGATCCCTACCTCCACAAAAATTAACTGACACCAGCAGTTCTCAAACTTTTTGTTCTCAAGATCCCTTTTATGCTTAAAGATATTGAAACACCTTCTGCCCTCAGTCTTCATTTTGTGTATCAATATTTACAATACTAGAAATGCTAGTTGCTTAGGAGGCTGAGACCTAGAGGATCATGGTTTTCAGCTAACCTAGGCAGAAAAATCTGTGAACTCCATTTCCAGTTAATCAGCAAAATACCAGACTGGAGACAAGCCACCAGATGGGAGACAAGCCTTAAGTGGTAGAGTGCCAGCTGAGCAAGAGTACAAGGCCCTGAGTTCGAGCTCTAGTACCAGCACACACAAAAAAAGAAAAAGCTAAAACAAATTTTAGAGTATTCATTTATTTAAAATTATTATATAAAAGTATTATATTTGTATGAATTTCATATAAGTAATAAAAATAGTACAATTTTATGTTTTTCAAAAGAAAAAAATAGCTGTGTGTCAGTGGCTCACTCCTTTAATCCTAGCTGCTCAGGAAACTAAGATCTGAGAATCTTGGTTTGAAGCCAGCCTGGGCAAAGTCGGTGAGACTTATCACAAAAAAAAAAAAAAAAAAAACTCAAGTGTAGAATGCCAGCCTTGATTGAAAAAAACTGAATGAAAATACCCAGTCCCTGAGTACTAGCACTAAAAAATAATAATTTAGTATGAAGAATGACATATTATTTATCTACAAGTATTTATAATGTCTCATCTCATGTACGCCAACTAGGTTCTCACATTGCCTCTGAACTCACTCTGTTGTGATTATACACTCAGTACATTCAGAAAGAATGACAGCAAAAAATATTATGGAAATAAAGATTTGGCTTCATAAACCCCCTGAAAGAGTCTCAGAAACCTTCTGATTCCCAGACAACACTTTTAAGAACTGTTACTATCTTTCAACTTTTATCTGTTCCATTAACCTGGGACTAACAGATTAAATCCAGTAAACAATAGAGGTCTATAGTTATGTTGGAATAATGAGGGAAGGGATTGTAAAAGGGGATAGATAAAAACATTAACACCTGTTGATTCTCACTTCTTTTTATTCCTTTGATCTTTTAACATTGACTTCTCTAGCCTTTCCTTTGTTTCTACCATTATTTTCAATCCCAGATTTTCATTTATAATGCATGCATTATAAAAAAAGAAAAGCAAATATGGCTTCTATATGTGGTCTTCAAAACATTAGTAAAATCTGTTCTGTTCTGTTTTGTTTTTAGGAAGGAAGAGCTACTGTTAATCAGGATACAAGATTAGACAACAGAGTCATTGATCTTAGGGTATGATTTCTCATTTATTATGCCAAAATAGAGATGGGCAGAGATACCAGAAAGTTAATTGTGGGACTGGGAAGGTGGCTCCGTAGTAGAGTGCTTGCCTTGTATGCATGAGGCCCTAGGTTCGATTCCTCAGCACCACATAAGCAGAAAAAGCCAGAAGTGGTGCTGTGGCTCAAGTGGTAGAGCGCTAGCCTTGAGCTGAAGAGCTTTGAGGGACAGCGCCCAGGCCTAGAGTTCAGGCCCCACGACCGGACCAAAAAAAAAAATCTAAAATCGGGTTGGGAATGTGGCTTAGTAGTAGAGTGCTTGCTTAGCATGCATGAAGCCCTGGGTTTGATTCCTCAGTACCACACAAACAGAAAAGGCTGGAAGTGGCACTGTGGCTCAAGTGGTAGAGTGCTAACCTTGAGCAAAAACAGCTCAGGTACAGTGCGGAGGCCGAGTTCAAACCCCAGGACTGGCACCAAAAAAAAAAATCTAAAATCCAATGTTTGTAATTGCTTATTATATCATTGCATTGCTTATTTAATTTATTCAATACATGAATCCATAAAAATTTTTAAAAATTAAAAGTGAAAAATCTGCTAAAGAGTATTTTCCAGCATGTAAATGCTAAATAGAAACTTAAGATAATGTTGGAATTATCTGGATAACTGTTCAGTGTCTAATCAAGTATGTACCTGTCTTTCTAGCAAACAGTACCTTGAAGAAGTTATTGGAAACAATGCTTATTCTTGTATGGCATAGGTTCGTTTTCCTTATAAATGATGCGTAATAAGACACTTGTTTATATAATCAAAAAGAAAAGTAGGAATATCAATATGGTATTGGGATCAGGAGTGTTTGCTTTTTCGTGATAATTAATCTTCTATTAAAACTAAGTGCACTGGCGGGGTGCTGGTGGCTCATGCCTGTAATCCTAGCTAATAAGGAGGCTGAGATATGAGGATCATGGTCAAAGCCAGCCCGGGCAGGAAAGTCTGTGAGACTCTTATCTCCAATAAACCACCAGAAAACTAGAAGTGGCGCTGTATCTCAAGTAGTAGAGCACTTGCCTTGAGCCAAAGAACTGAGGGACAGCGCCCAGGCCCAGAGTTCAAGCCTCACAACAGACCCCCCCAAAAAAACTATGTAAACTGTGACACTTCCAGAGTTTAATTTCCCTTTGATATAAAGTTGAATTGAGTTTATTTGGGCTAGCTTAAAGAGGCAGGTGGCAGTAAAATGTATTCATTGGCTCTCTTTTTTTTGTTGTTTTTGTTTTTGTTTTTTGGGTTTTTTTGGGGGGTCCAGTCGTGGGCGCTGTCCAGGCCTGGGCGCTGTCCCTCAGCTCTTCAGCCAAGGCTAGCACTCTACCACTTGAGCCACAGCGCCACTTCCAGCTTTTTTCTTTTTGCTTATGTGTTGGTGAGGAATCGAACCCAGGGCCTCAGGCATGTAAGACAAGCGCTCTACCACTGAGCCACTTTCCCAGCCCTCAGTGGCTCTCTTATAGAATATACTTTACTGGAGTCTCTATATGTATATCAATACAGGTAAACAGTTTCTGCTTTAAATAAGTTGCTAATATTTTGGAAGCAGATTGTTCAACTTGAATTGGATATTTCCCTAAACCACATTTTTTTGTTGGTGGTGGTGGTCATAGAGCTTGAACTCCAAGCCTAGGCACTGTCCCTGAGCTCTTTTACTCAAGGCTCTATCACTTTCGGCCACAGTGCCATTTCTGTTTTCCGGTGGTTAATTGGAGATGAGTCTCAGGGACTTTTCTGCTTGGGCTGGCTTTGAACCATGATCTTAAGATCCCAGCCTCCCGAGTAGCTAGGATTATAGGCATGAGCCACCAGGGCCTACAAATCTTTCTAATTTAAATGTAGACATTTTTAAAAAAGAATGAGTAAATAGTCTAACAAATTGATCTTTTAATAATCTCCATTGTTTTGTGAGGAATTTATTTTTCTCTTTCTGTCTCTTGAGTTTGAATTACAAATATGTTCTTAAATAAGTCCCATTTGCATGAGTTTCTTTAACCCTGATCTCCAGAAACTCAAGATTATTTGTTAGCATTCTTTACAGTGAAATAATGTGTTTTCAAAGTACACTGCTGAATTCAGAATGTTTTGTGTGCACAAATCAGGAGAAAGCCCTGACAAATAATTGAAGTCCCAATACTAACTCAGCTGTCTACAGCAAGATTAGTTGTTTGAGTCAAAGATTTTATTCAACACCTATCCAGTCATGAGATAACCTTTTTCAAATGTTATTAGGCAAGACCTACCGATAATTCTTGTCTATAAATGGTCTATAAAGGAAAATGGCAGGACCAGAGAAACTGATAAAGAAAAAAAGGAAAAGAAGAGGACATAGGTGACTTTTTCTAGACAGAGTACTGCTTTAAATACTTTGTGTGTCGTTTGGGGAATCGGTGTGATGGGATACCTACCTCTTGTATTGTCTGTGACTATCTGCAGTTAATTTATTATTATTGATAATGGTTAAAGTAAAAGAACATGGTTTTACTCACTCATTAATTCTGTGCTAAAACTCTTACTTTCCTTAAAGGAGTATTTGTATGCTGTAAGTATTAGTACGATGGAGCACAGTGACTCACACCTGTAATCCTAGTACTTGGGAAGATGAGGTCCAGAGGATCATGATTGGAGGCCAACCTCGGCAAAAATATTTGAGACCCTGCCATGGCGATCAATAAGCTGGAAATTGCTAGAGCTGTGACTCAGCAGTAGAGTACTTACTTAGCAAGTGAAAGGCCCTAAGTTCAAACCTCTGTAGTGAAAAAAAAATCATTAGTACATCTCACTTAGTGAGTTAACCTTAAAAATTAAAATGTAAGAGCATTTAGAAGTAAGAATGTTTTGTTAATTGTTAAATATTTTTTCTTTTGTATAATTCTTATAAATTAAAGCATCTGCTCACCAAGGGTTTCTAGTGAGAATAGTTTTATGTCATTATATGTAGTCATTACACTCCAGCATGTTTTATCACCTGCTTTGTGTTATGTTTGTTTTTTTTTTGTTTTTTGTTTTTTGGTTTTTTTGGGGGGGTGGTCCGGTCCTGGGGCCTGAACTCTGGGCCTGGGCGCTGTCCCTCAGCTCTTCAGCTCAAGGCTAGCGCTCTACCACTTGAGCCACAGCACCACTTCCGGCTTTTTTCTTTTTTGCTTATGTGGTGCTGGGGAATTGAACCCACGGCCTCATGCATGCAAGGTAAGCGCTCTACCACTGAGCCACCTTCCCAGCCCTTTGTGTTATGTTTGTGTGCTTTTGTCTTTCCCCCTACTATTAGACTTTACAATGTTGAGAGGAATAATAGTTCAGTTTACCTTTAGGTTTCCAACAATGCTGAGCACACGATGAGTGCTCAATAAATGTGTCAGATTGATTTAATTAGATGTTGTTACTGTCTTACAGACATCAACCAGTCAGGCAGTCTTCCGTCTCCAATCTGGCATCTGCCATCTCTTCCGAGAAACATTAATTAACAAGGGTTTTGTGGAAATCCAAACTCCTAAAATTATTTCGGGTATGTTTAAAAATATTTCCTTGAATCTGGAAAATCCAAAAGAATTCTGTAAGGTTTATTATGCAGCTATTTATTTCAAAGGCCATGCTTTATGTCAACATAAGTGACTACTTGTTCCTGAAGTCATTTTATGATAATGATTGTGAAATGAGGCCCTAGCATACAAAGTGTGATTCCTTTTATATAAGTTAGTCTGGAAAGTTGTTTTCATTATGTTTTTCTTTCAAAATTGGTATTACAGTTTTCTTTTGTACAAACTACATTCTAAACTCGGTAAATACCTGCTGGTGGAAAGATCACATAGTTGCCATTCTTATAGAAGAATCTTAAGCATTTTACCCTTACAGAATTGCTTAATTAACAGTAAAAGAGTGAATACAAGTGATAAATATAAATTAAAAGCTAAAAATTATATTCTTGATTTTTTAAATTGTTACAAATGGACCTGAATTGTGAAATAGTAACCCCTCTATACAACACCTTAATAATAGCAGTACCCATAAAATTATGTTTAAAAAAATGATTACAATATTCTTGTTTTTATATATGTCTACAAAAATAGCTTTACTGTTTGATATTGGTGCAGCAAAGAGAGCATTTATATCCAAAGCAGAAAATCTGGCTTAAATACAAACTGTCTAGAATCTCATACAAGAATAAATATGTATAGACTGACTTACCAGTTTGGACTTTCCAGTTTTTCTTTTAAGTGAACCACTTGAAGCAAAAGAATAAATTTTTTTAAATGAACTATGTAACTTGTGAGTAAGATTGGGAGTGGGAAAATAGGCATAAGGAAGAGGTGACATTGTCCAAGAAGCATTGCACTTATAACCTGACTTACAGAATTGTAACCCCTTTGTACAAATACTTAACAATTTTCTTTTTAAAAAAACTTAAAAAATAAATTTTTATTAGAAGTTTACATTGATAATATTACCAGTTATAATACTACAAATTTTACATTTCAGCTGCCAGTGAAGGAGGAGCCAATGTATTTACTGTGTCATATTTTAAAAATAATGCATACTTAGCTCAGTCTCCACAACTATATAAGCAAATGTGCATTTGTGCTGATTTTGAGAAGGTTTTCTGCATTGGACCAGGTAAGATTTTGTCAGTTATGTTTCCTAAATTCATTTATCATGTAGTAGTTGCAGTATTAGAAACACATTTTACATGTATAAGTACAGACATTTTGAAAGCATAAATTTTAATTGCTGACTACACAAATACTTGATTTTGAGTGCTAGGATTTATAGCCCAGTATAACAACGTTCGCTTTGGATCTACATGGCCCTGACTTTGAGTCTTAGCATCACCTGGGGGAGGGGGCTGAAATAACCATGTAAATGTCTTATGGGCAGCCAGGCACTGGTGGATCAAACCTATAACCTTAGCTACTCCAGAGGCTAAAATCTGAGGTTTGTAGTTCAAAGCCAACTTAGGTAGGCAGGCTTACCCCCACTGAACCCCCAGAAAAATGGAAGTGGCACTTCGATTCAAAGTAGTAGAGCAATAAGCTTATGCATAAGAGCTCAGGGACAGTACTCAGGCCCCAAGTTTAGGTCCCACAACCAGCCAAAAAAAAAAGAAAAAAAAAGGTCTTATGGGCCATATTAACATAGAATTTGTTTTGGGTTTTTGTTTGTTTTTTGTATTAGGATTTTTTTTGGGGGGGGGGGGAGGGGGGTCCAGTCGTGGGGCCTGAACTCTGGGCCTGGGCGCTGTCCCTCAGCTCTTCAGCTCAAGGCTAGCACTCTACCACTTGAGCCACAATGCCACTTCCAACTTCTTCTGCTTATGTGGTGCTGAGGAATTCAACCCAGGGCCTCATGCCTGTAAGGTAAGCACTTTACCACTGAGCCACCTTCCCAGCCCCTACACTAGGATTTGAATTTGGCTAGCATTCTACTGCCTTGGGCTGTGCCTCCAGCCTTTTTGCTTTGGAGTTTTTGGAGGGGTTTCAGTTCTTTCTTTCTTTCTTTCTTTCTTTCTTTCTTTCTTTCTTTTGGGGGGTCATGGGGCTTGAACAATGGGCTTGGGCGAGCTCAAGGCCAGTGCTCTACCGCTTGAGCCATAGCGCCACTTCCGATTTTCTAGTGATTTATTGGAGATAAGAGTCTCACAGACTCTTTGGGGCTTTGAACCGATCCTCAGATCTCAGTCTCCTGAGTAGCTAGGATTACAGGCTTGAGCCACCAGCGCCCCGGCAGGTTTTAGTTCTTTTGTACTAGTACTGAGGTCAGGGTGTTCTCCCTTAGCTTTTTTTTGCTCAAGGCTGGCGCTCTACTATTTGAGCCACATCTCCACTTCCAGCTTTTTGATAATTAATTAGAGATAACAGTCTCACAGACTTCACTGCCTGGGCTGGCTTTGAACTGTGATTTTCAGATCTCAGTCTCCTGAGTAGCAAGGACCATAGGTTTCTTTGGTCCCGTTTCTATTTAGGATGAATCTCATGAACTTTTTATGATGCCCTGCCTAGTCATAACCACACTCCTCCCAAACTCCACTATAACTGTCACCTAGCTAGGTTATATTATTAAAATATTCTTAAGATGTATTTGCTAAAAGTCAAGTAAATAATTTTTTAAGCTAATTGTAAGTAAAATCCAGCCTTACATCAGCTTTTAAAACTCACCAAGGCACTGGTCACTGGTAGTTCATGCTTGTAATTCCAACTACTCAGGAGGCTAATATCTGAGGATCAAGGTTCAAAGTCAGACCAGACAGGAAAGTCCTGAGACTCTTAATCTCCAATAAACTACCCCTTCCCACCAAAAAAAAAAAAAGGAACTGAGCTTTGTGCCTTAAGTAGTAGAGTACTATCCTTGAGCAAAAGAGACTTGGGGATAGTACCCAGGCCCTGAGTTCAAGCCCAGGACCAACAAAATAAATAAATAAACTCACCAAGTTTTTATATGTTTTTGATAGTTCAATGCTTTCCCACAAAGAAAAAGGCAATACCGTTAAATGTCTTAATTTTCTGAATTCATTGACCATTTATTATATATATGTATATATATATATATGCTGCATATATATTTTTTTTTATTGTGAAAATACTGTACAGAGGGGTTACAATTACATGGGCAAGATAATGAGTACATTTCTTATCAAGCATTATAGCCTCCTCCTTTGTTTCCCCTTCCCATCCCTTCCCATCCTCCCCCCGCCCCCCTGCATATATATTCTTATGCTAGATACCCATGTACATAAAAGAAGAATAAACTAGTGTTTCTCAATTTTTTTTTTGGTTGGTTATAGGGCTTGAACTCAGAACCTGGGTTCTGTCCTTGAGCCTCTTTGTATTCAAGGCTAGCGCTCTACCACTTGAGCCATGGTGCCATTCCAGTTTTTGAGTGGTTAATTGGAAAGAAGAGTCTCATGGGGACTTTTCTGCCCAAGCTGGCTTTGAACCAGGATCGTCTGATCTTGGCCTCCTAAGTAGCTAGAATTACAGGTGTGAGCCACCACTGCCCAGCTTCATTTCTCAAATGTTAATGCACACAAATCACTTAGGAATCTTGTTAATATACAGATTCCATGTAATAAAGTTGGGGTGAGGCCTAAGATTCTGTAGTCCAGGTCAATTGGTTTGATTTGTGGCTCATGCTTTTTGTAACAAGGGAATAAGCATTGTCTTTGATGCCAAGATGAATAAGACCTACTCTAAGCAGTTACAAAGAATAATCAAATGATTTTTAAAATGAACAATTATGCTGTACAATCAGCAGATTGGTGTTAATTACCCAGAAAAGAGTTACTTAGTAAGTATAAAAAGAGGAAGAAGTTGCGCTGGGAAGGTGGCTCAGTGGTAGAGCGCTTGCCTTGCATGCCTGAGGCCCTGGGTTCGATTCCTCAGCACCACATAAGCAAAAAGAAAAAAGCCGAAAGTGGTGCTGTGGCTCAAGTGGTAGAGCGCTAGCCTTGAGCTGAAGAGCTGAGGGACAGGGCCCAGGCCCAGAGTTCAGGCCCCATGACCAGACCCAAAAAAAAAAAATTTTTTTTTTTTAAAAAGAGGAAGAAGTTGAGGCTGGGTGGCTCAGTGGTAGAGGGCTTGCCTTGCAGGCATGAGGCCCTTGGTTTGATTCCTCAGCACCACATAAGCAAAAAGAAAAAAAGCCGGAAGTGGCCCTGTGGCTCAAGCGGTAGAGCGCTAGCCTTGAGCTGAAGAGCTGAGGGACAGCACCCAGGCCCAGAGTTCAGGCCCCACAACTGGACCCAAAAAAAAAAAAAAGAGGAAGAAGTTAGAATTGACTAGAGTAGCCTTGAAAACAAAGCCAAACTGAGAAGGGCTTGAAGGGCAGAATAGGATATATGAGCAACAAGGACAGTTACTTCTAGTCAGAGGAAACAGGATAAGTAAAGAACATGGACTATCAGAATAAACAAAATAAGAATAGTATTAAAGACATGCAAAATATAGGTTAAGAGTAAATTATGAGCACAAGAAGGTTTTTAGACCTTTGTTATTTTACATCATTATTATACTTATTTGGGGCCCATTATAAGTAACTAAACAAGGGTGTGTTATATGAATATTAGTAATAAAATTTAGAAGAACTATACTGATTCATAATTGAATCAACTTTTTAATTTTGAGAAGATACTTTGGGATCTTGCATTCTCCTGGGGTTCTCATGAGCTTCATTTATTAATTTATATTTGGCATATATTTTACACTGCATACCTATCAGAATTTATATGAACTTGCTGTCTAGGCATATAGTGATATGAAACTAGAACCACCTGAGTACTAAGTGGAAATTTGTATTTAAATTACAATCTGTCTAAAATTTAAAACAATTTGTTATTTATTCCTTTTGTTCATAGTTTTCCGAGCTGAAGACTCTAATACCCACAGACATTTAACCGAATTTGTTGGTTTGGACATTGAAATGGCTTTTAATTATCATTACCATGAAGTTCTGGAAGAAATCGCTGACACCTTGGTACAAATATTCAAAGGACTTCAAGAAAGGTTAAGAAGTATATTATATCCCTAAATATTCTTAATTTGAAGTTAGTTTGGGTTCTTTTTTGCTTTGTTTTGGTTTTGGCTTTTTGAGATAGGATTTTACTATATAGCCTACCTTACTTTAAAGAAGAAAAAAAATGAATTGATATGCAAATTAAACTTATTGTGCATACTTACCCAGAAATCAATGTAACTAGTTATATGCTCCATAAGTATTCCTGGACTGACCAGTATTTTGACACATGCCTATAATCCTAGTGTTAGGAGGATAACAGAGGAGTTTCAAGAGTTTGATGGCAGCCTGTGCTGCATACTCAGTTGAAGGGTAGCCTGGCCTACATAGAGAGACCCTGTCTCATAAACAACAAAAAATAATGACACTATAGTCTGTATAAGTACATACTCTATAATGTGTTCACACATGACAGAATCATAGAACATAGCTTCAGAGTTAACTAACATATAACTGCAGTTGGGAAAATCCACACTCAAAAATAAGATCTTGTCTGAAAAATAACTTAAGCAAAAAGACTTGGATAGTATAGAGTACATGCCTGGCAAACACCTGCCCTAAGTTCATGCTCCACTACTATGGAGGAAAAAAATTGGTATTTTATGTTTCAAACACTGCTACCTGATACTAGTTTCGAAGGAAAAAAAATTAATCCTTCAATACCACAGTGATTAAGCAATATGCCGACAGTTCACACCTGTAATCCTAGCTACTCATGCAGATGAAATCTGAGAGTGGCTGTTCAAAGCCAGCTGGGGCTGGAAAGTCTGTGAAACCCTTAACTCTAATTAACTACCAAAAAGCTGGAAATGGAACAGTAGCTCAAAGGAGTTGTGTACTAGCCTTCCAAAAAGCTCAGAGATAATACCCAGGCCCTAATTTAAGCCCCGGGCGATAGATAGATAGATAGATAGATAGATAGGTAGGTAGGTAGATAGATGACATTGAGAAAATGTGTTATAAATTTATATATTTAAATTTCACCTTTAAACTTAAGAATTAGATAACCATTTTCTGGTGCATATATTGTTTCACATAATGATTTTTGTTGTTATTGTCGGTCGGAGCCTGAACTCTGGGCCTGGGTGTTATCCCTCGGCTCTTCTTCCATAGCACCACTTCCAGTTTTCTGGTGGTTTGTTGGAGATAAGAGTTTAAGGACTTTCCTGCCTGGACTGGCTTTGAACTGCAATCCTCAGATCTCAGCCTCCTAAGAAGCTAGGATTATAGGCATGAACCACCAGCACCTGGCTTTCACTTAACGATTTTTTTTTTTTTAATACAGCCTTGGCAACCTCTTGGAGAAACATTATTTCTCACACATGATTAACTAACTGTACCTACAGGTTTCAGACTGAAATTCAAACGGTGAATAAACAGTTCCCATGTGAACCATTCAAATTTTTGGAGCCAACTTTAAGACTGGAATATTGTGAAGCATTGGCTATGCTTAGAGAAGCTGGAGTTGAAATGGGAGATGAAGAAGACTTAAGGTTTGTTCCAGGATTTTTTATGCTTTAGAAATTACATATAGGGGGGGCTGGGAAGGTGGCTCAGTGGTAGAGCACTTGCCTTGCATGCCAGAGGCCCTGGGTTCGATTCCTCAGCACCACATAAGCAAAATGAAAAAAAGCCGGAAGTGGCGCTGTGGCTCAAGTGGTAGAGCGCTAGCCTTGAGCTGAAGAGCTGAGGGACAGCGCCCAGGCCCAGAGTTCAGGCTCCGACCGGACCCAAAAAAAAAAAGAAAGAAATTACATATAGGGGCTGGGAAGGTGGCTCAGTGGTAGAGCGCTTGCCTTGAATGCATGAGGCCCTGGGTTCGATTCCTCAGCACCACATAGGCAAAAAGAAAAAAGCCAGAAGTGGCGCTGTGGCTCAAGTGGTAGAGTGCTAGCCTTGAGCTGAAGAGCTGAGGGACAGCGCCCATGCCCAGAGTCCAGGCCCACTACCAGACCCCAAAAAAAAAAAGAACTAAAAGAAATTACATGTAGAATATAAGAATGAGTGTGTTAATAATTATTATTTATTTCACTTAAGTTATAAACACTTTTTATTCCCCCCCCCCTCATAGTTTTAACCCTTTAAAGAATATAAGGAGGGGCTGGGAATGTGGCTTAGTGGTAGAGTGCTTGTCTAACATGCGTGAAGCCCTGGGTTCAATTCCTTAGTACCACATACACAGAAAAAGCCAGAAGTGGTGTGGCTCGAGTGGTAGAATGCTAACTGTGAGCAAAAGAAGCTCAGGAACCGCGCCCAGGCCCTGGGTTCAAGCCCAGGATTGGCAAAAAAAAAAAAAAAGTTATGCCTATGATTTTATTATATAATGTTATTTCTTCCAAATCAGTGGTTTTACAAAGTAGAGAGTGGTCTCAATTGTCCCCACACATAAAAATACTAGTATCTTCAAAAGTTATCAAATTACTGTTCTTTATTTGATATATAGTATTTTATTATCTAAACATCATAAAACATAATTTTGAAGCAAATTATGAAATTTCCTATCACATTTCATTCACAGTTGCTAGTTTAAAATATTTAAGTCAGCCAAAGTGCTAGTGGCTCATGCCTATTATCCTAGCTACTCAGGAGGCTGAGGACTGAGAATTGCAGTTCCGACTAGCCGGGGCAGAAAAGTCTGTGAGACTTATCTCCAGTTAACTACCAGAAAATTGGAAGTGGCACTATGGCTCAAAGTGGTAGGGTGCTGGCCTTTAACGAAAGAACTCAGGGACAGCACCCAGGCCCTTGAGTTCAAGCCCCATGACCAACAACAAAAATACAAAAATAAAAGTAAAATGTTTAAGTCATCACACAGAGAATATATATATATATATATATGGTTGTCTCTTTTTTATTTGCAGTTTTTTCCAAAAACATACTCAAAACATGATTTATTCAAGAGGTTTTTTTTTTGTTGTTGTTTAACAAAGAAAAAATAAGATTGTAAGCATCCCCTATATTGCTATAGGATATTTTAAGGCAAATCATAAATATTTCAAGTTGGACAATATTTTCTTTTTATTAGTACCTGTTAATTATACAAAGGAATTTCATTTTCACGTGCCTAAATATATGTAAAATGCACCTTGATCAGATGCAATTCCTCCATCACATTCTCATTCCCCATTCCTGTCCACCTAAGACAGTCTCAGAAGACTCTATTATTCCGTTTTCATACAAGTATATAAAGTATATTGAGCATAGTCATCCTCCCTATCCTCTTTGTTCACTTCCTTACTCCTACTAATGCTATGTCCTGGGTAGGACTTTTTTTACATTGTATCATATAGTTTTTAAGGGTATGTTACTGTTCAAAGAATTTTCACCATGGTATTTCACACATACATATATTGAACTTCGATCCTATTGACTCCTTTCCATTATTTTCTTTTCCTATCTCTACTACCTTCTATTAACTATTTTAAGTGTTTGGATTTTTTTTCCTGGGCCTGGGGCTTGAACTCTGGGCCTGGGCGCATTGTCCCTGAGCCTCGGTGCTCAAGGCTGGCGCTCTACCAGTTGAGCTACAGAACCACTTCGGGCTTTTTTTGGAGTAGTTTATTGGAGATAGTCCAGGAACTTTTCGGCCTGGGCTGGCTTCAAACCGCCATCCTCAGATCTCAACCTCTTTGAGTAGCAAGGATTATAGGCATGAGCCACTGGCACCAGACTTGGAAATTATTCTTAAATAGCATGTAGGCTACAGAAAGTATCTCTTTACCTCAGAAATTAACATATTTGGGCTGGGAAGGTAGCTCAGCGGTAGAGTGCATGCCTTGCAAGCATGAGGCCCTGGGTTCGATTCCTCAGCACCACATAAACAGAAAAAGCCAGAAGTGGCGCTGTGGCTCCAGTGGTAGAGCGCTAGCCTTGAGCTGAAGAGCTGAGGGATAGCGCCCAGACCCAGAGTTCAGGCCCCATGACCGGCAAAAAAAAAAAAAGAAAGAAAATAATTAACCTTTTTGTAAACCGTATTACATTTTAAAGATTGGAAATACTGATTTTTATTTTACAAACTTTTGATAAAGTCTACCAAAAGGTAGAGAGGTCACTTATTGTTAAGACAAGTAACCACATTATTGGAGCAGATACCTTTTGTGGGTGGGAGAGCAAGATAGATTAACTGTGTTTTGGCCAAAAAAAAATTTTTTTTTTGGGGGTCCGGTCATGGGGCCTGAACTCTGGGCCTGGGCACTGCCCCTCAGCTCTTCAGCTCAAGGCTAGCGCTGTACCGCTTGAGCCACAGCGCCACTTCCGGCTTTTTTCTTTTTGCTTATGTGGTGCTGAGGAATTGAACCCAGGGCCTCATGCATGCAAGGCAAGCGCTCTACCACTGAGCCACCTTCCCAGCCCCTTTGTTTTTTTTTAAGTTGCTATTTGAGCTTCAAATACCTGACTTGGGCTGGGAAGGTAGCACAGGGGTAGAGCGCTTGCCTTGTATGCATGAGGCCCTGGGTTCGATTCCTCAGCACCACATAAGCAAAAAGAAAAAAGCCGGAAGTGGCGCTGTGGCTCAAGTGGTAGAATGCTAGCCAAAACAAAAACAAATACCTGACTTAATGTTTCTTTTTTTCAGTACCCCAAATGAAAAACTGTTGGGTCGTTTGGTAAAGGAAAAGGTAGGACTCTTGGATATGCTAGCTTTCTTTTTCTATATATCTGAGATGTATGCTGATTCAAGAGAACAACTACAGGTTCTTGGCATCTTCCCTAAAGTGCTATGCTTCTAGAATAAACAAAATGAGGACCATATTTTTTTAATTCTTGAAAAAATACAAAATACTTGGACTCTGCCTAGAACTAATTGAATATTTTATATATGTGCTAAGTTGTACTAGGGTGATTGTAAGTGACACGTTAGAATATCAGGTAAGTTAAAAGGACTTCTAAATTATTTGCGATTATTTTAAAAAGATCTTCCCTAGGAATTCCTCTTAAGAAACTTGAATGAGCTTTCTTCATATCTATTTTAGTATCTTGCTTTTTTAAAACTAAAACTCCAAAAAGGATATACACTATACTTCAGTATGGTCTTTAAAAACTTAAGACAATAATGTAATTAACAAAGTCCTTGAGCTCCCCCTGCTGGCTACACTTGAAATAAACTAGGGAACTTTTTGAAAACCATACAGTTTGTGTGTGTGTGTGTGTGTGTGTGTGTGTGTGTGTGTGTGTGTGTGTGTGTGTGTGTGTGCAAAAATTGTTTCAAAAGAACCAATTTGTTAACTGTTAATATTCTCTCTGATCTCTTACAGTAGCAAACATGTTTGAAATGAAATACAGTTGAAATGTTGTTAATGTCTTTTTAATTAAATCTGGATCACATAGTAATATTCTACAGAACTTAAAATTTCATGTTAATAGTACTTTTTCATTTGAAAAAACATTACCAAGTGGGCTGGGAAGGTGGCTCAGTGGTAGAGCGCTTGCCTTGCATGCTCGAGGCCCTGGGTTCGATTCCTCAGTACCACATAAGCAAAAAGAAAAAAAGCTGGAAGTGGCGCTGTGGCTCAAGTGGTAGAGCGCTAGCCTTGAGCTGAAGAGCTGAGGGACAGCACCCAGGCCCAGAGTTCAAGCCCCACGACCGGACCCAAAAAAAAAAAACATTACCAAGTGATATTTCTATATCTAAACAATTATTGAGAAAAGCCATGTTTTTTAATACAAATATTGAAATAAAATTCCAGTTTGTCAGTTTTTTCCAAAGTGACTTATACATTTAATAAAGTCTTGGTAAAACCCAAAAGGATTTCAAATAATTTAACAAAAATGGTGTAGATGCATCTAAAAGACTAGATGACTTAGAATAACAAATGAAAAACTAAAAATAAATGGTATTTATTGCAGTATAATTTGTGATGGGGAGGGGTTGGAGATTACATATCAAAAGAAATGAATGGCTGGGCATTGGTGTCTCATGCCTGTAATCCTAGCTGCTCAGGAGGCTGAGCCCTCTCAGATCGAGATACAAAGCCACCTGGGTCAGGAAAGTCCATGAAACTCACCTCCAATTAAACACCAAAAAGTCAGAAGTAGAGCTGTGGTTCAAGTGGTTGAGCACTAGTTTTGTGCACAAAAGCTCAGGGACAGTGTCAAGCCCTGAGCTCAAGCCCCAGGACTGACACTTTACAAGAAATGACTAAACCCAGGCATTGGTGATTCCCATTTGAAATCGTAGCTACTCAGATGCTGAGATGTGAGGACCTCCATTCAAAGTCAACATGGACAGAAAAGTTCCTGAGACTATTTAATTAACTACCAAAAACACAAGTGAAATTCAGCATCAGTGACTCACACCTATAACCCTAGTTACTCCAGAAGTTGAAATCTGGAGATGGCAATTCAAAGCCAGCCCAGGCAGAAAAGTCAATGGGATTTTAATCTCTAATTAACTACCACAAAAGTTGGGAATGGAGCTTTGATTTAAGTGGTAGAACCCCAACCTTGAGCAGAAAAGCTCAGGGACAGTACCTAGGCCCCCAGTTCAGCTGGCCCCCAGGACCAGCGTTCACACACTCATACACACAAAAGCCAAATGGAAGTGTGGGCCAAGTGATAGAGTACCAGCCTTGGGCAAAAATGCCAAGTGAGAGCATGAGGCTATTGAGTTCAAGCCCAAGAACCAGTTTGGAAGGAAGGAAGGGAGGGAGGGAGAGAGATAAAAGGGCCAGGCACCAGTGGCTCACACCTATAATCCTAGCTACTCAAGAGGCTGAGATCTGAGGATTATGGTTCATAAGCCAGCCCACGCAGAAAAGTCCCTGTGAGATTCTTAGCTCCAATTAACCACTCAAAAACCAAGCTGTGGCTCAAAGTGTAGAGCACTAGCCTTGAGCAAAAGAGCTCAGGGACAGTGCCCAGGCCCTGAGTTCAAATTCCACCACCAATTTTAAAAAAAGAATGAATGAATTACGCATTGTAAATAGCTCTTAGAAGATACCTACTAGAACTTTAGATTTTACTTGCAAAAAGCAAGTCAGTGTAATTATAGTGATTTTTGGGAGCAAAACTATATAAAAAATTATGTTCTAGAAAAGTTAGCCTTTTTTAAAAAGCCTATTTTAATTGCATTTTTTTCTTTCTTACAGTATGATACGGATTTTTATGTTCTTGATAAATATCCATTGGCTGTAAGACCTTTCTATACCATGCCTGACCCAAATAATCCTGTAAGTAATTTGGTTTCAAATAATGTACCTAAGGAAAGAAGGAAAACTATTGTCACTATGTCAAATTATATAACATGAATAATGATTTTCATTAATAACATAGTATCAATAGATATATTGCTATTATACAGTATTAGTGTCTCACTATAGTTCACACTGGCATTGTTAAATTTTAATATTCTGTCAAATTAGTCCTGAAGGCCGATATTAAAAATCATTTTAAGTCTGGGAAGGTGGCTCAGTGGTAGAATGCTTGTCTTGCATGCATGAGGCACTGAGTTCAATTCCTTAGCACCACATAATCAGAAAAAGCCTGAAGTGGCACCATGGCTCAAGTGGTAGAGTACTAGCCTTGAGTTGGAGAGCTGAGGAACAGTGCCCAGGCTCAGAGTAGGCCCCATGACCGGCAAAAAAAAAAAAAAAAAAAAAAAAGGAAAAAAATTACTTTATTGGGCCATTTTTAGAAGACTCATAAGGAAGAAAGAATTGATAACTATTGCTAGCTTTAAAAACATTATTATGCTTTCTTATTATTGACCTTGAACTCAGAGTTCAAATTGTTTTAGGAGATAAAATGTAAGTAATGTCTTTTTAACTGTTTTCCTGTAATAGAGGTTCCCAGGCATTATATGCATTACAATCACCTGCAGTACTTTTTAAAAACAGATGGTCACCACTGGTTTATACCTATAATCCCAGCCATTCAGAAGGCTGAGATCTGAGACTTGCAGTTCAAAACTAGCCCAGGCAGAAAAGGACATAAGACTTTTGTCTACAATTAATCACCAAAAAGCTGGAAGTGGAGCTGTGGCTCAAATTGTAGAGTGCTAGCCTTGAGTGAAAAGGCTAGGGCTGGGAAGGTGGCTCAGTGGTAGAGCACTTGCCTTGCATGCTCAAGGCCCTGGGTTCGATTCCTCAGCACCACATAAGAAAAAAGGAAAAAGCCGGAAGTGGTGCTGTGGCTCAAGTGGTAGAGCGCTAGCCTTGAGCTGAAGAGCTGAGGGACAGTGCCCAGGCCCAGAGTTCAGGCCCTACGACCGGACTCCCCCCCCCCCTCCCCAAAAAAAAAAAGAAAAGAAAAGGCTAAAGGACAGAGCCTACCTAGGCCATGAGTTCAAGCCCCTTAGTATAGAAAACAACAGATTATGATCTCCATTTCTGAGTATGATTAGTTGGTCAGTAGTAGGGCATGGTAATTTACATTTCTAACAAGTTCCTGGTAATACTGAAGTACCTGGTTCAGTATCAGACTTTGAAAGCCATTGTTTGTTGAAAGTGGGGAAGGGGTTTAAGTTCAAGTTGATGTTATCAACCTGAAAGAACTACTTAACTGGTTGATTTTCAACTTATTTTTCCTTGAAAGTTTTTCTTAATTAAAAAAGACTAAGGACTTACTGATAATTTCAGTTCCAAAATGACCCAGAAATCATAGCATATTTTAAAATATTTTGGATAGTAAAGTAAAATAAAAAATCAGTACACTTCTTTTTCTTTTCTTTTTTTTTTTTTGTTTTTTTTTGTTGGTCTTGGGGCTTGAACTCTGGGCCTGGGCACTGGTCCCTCAGCTCTTCAGCTCAAGGCTAACACTCTACCACTTCAGCCACAACACCATTTCTGGCTTTCTGGTGGTTTATTGAAGATAAGAGTCTCATGAACTTTCCTGCCTAGGCTGGCTTTGAACTGTGATCCTCAGATCTTAGCCTCCTGAATAGCTAGGATTTGCAGGCATGAGCCACCGGCTCCTGGCAGCACACCCTTTAATGTGGCACTTGTATTTGTTGCTGGAGATGAGGGAAAAGGGAAAAGAAAGGACTCACAAAAAAGGACTCAAAATTTAATACAGGAAAAAAAAATTATTCAGCTCTCCATAAATCTTCCTGGGCAGAAGAAATTATGTTCGCTGAAGAAGAAAACATGAATTTGTTCTTCATACAACATAGGTTTTTCCCTCCATATGTTTACAACAGAGAAAGAGTAGTAGTACTTTAACACTGATTTTGTTTTCCCTGCAGAAACATTCAAACTCTTATGATATGTTCATGAGAGGAGAAGAAATATTGTCAGGAGCTCAGAGAATACATGATTCCCAGCTACTGACAGAGAGAGCCTTGCATCATGGAATTGGTAAATGGCTTAAAATATAGTCTTCATTGAGCAGTAATTGCTTTTGTGGATTTTTTTTTTTGGGGGGGGGGGTTGGGGGTGGTCCGGTCATGGAGCCTGAATTCTGGGCCTGGGCACTGTCCTGCAGCTCTTCAGCTCAAAGCTAGCGCTCTCCCTCTTGAGTTGTGAATTTTTTTAATGTTAAATGAAATGATAAATGTTATTTTGTTTTATTTGTATAGATTTGGAGAAAATCAAGGCTTACATTGATTCCTTCCGCTTTGGAGCACCTCCTCATGCTGGTGGAGGAATTGGTAATCCACTGTTATTGTTGAACAATACATATAAATGCTAAGAATAATACAACTTTTAATTTTAAGCATTTTTAATTAGGACTAAATAAAAATTTTATTTCCAAAATAAAAAGTGAACAGCTAACTTGTAGGTTTTAAAATACTATTATAATAATAAGGTTCTAAGCATTTTCTTTTAAAGAGGTTGGAAGCCGCCAGTTGCTGATGATTCAAACCTGTAATCCTAGCTGCACAGGAGGCTGAGATCTGAGGATCGGGGTTCAAAGCCAACCCAGGCAGGAAAGTCCATGAGACTCTTATTTCCAATTAACCACTAGAAAACCAGAAGTGGGGCTATAGCTCAAAATGATAGCCTTGAGCAAAAGAGCTCAGGGAAGTACCCAGACCCTGAGTTCAAACCCTTCAAACAAATCATTTTGAAGGGAAATGTCCTATATTCTCTGTCCTACTATGAGTCTAATGAGATTACCCCAAATTAAAGTTTCACATTAAGTTAGCTGAAATTTGTTGATAGTATTGTAGTAGCTGGGGAGCGGAGAGAGAGGGGGTAATTGGTACTGGGGCCTGAACTCAGGGCCCAGGCACTTTCCCTTGGCTTTTTTGCTCAAGGTTAGCACTCTTCCACTTGAGCCACATCTCCCACTTCTGGCTTTTTGGTGATTAATTGGAGATAAGAGTTTAATATATTGATTGATATTAAATCACTATTACAGGGTTTAGAATATGCAGATGTCATTATGTAAAGAATAGGCAGTAAAAGTTGGCACTGGTGACTCATTCCTTTAATCCAGTCAGCTACTCAAGATACCGAGATCTGAGGATTCCAGTTTGAAGCCAGCTAAAGCGCAAAAAAAAAAAAAACCATGAGACATTTTTCCCTTTTTTTTTTTTTTTGTGACAATTCTAGGACTTGAACTCAGGGTGCTGTCCCAGAGCTTTTTCATTCAAGGCTAACACTCTACCACTTAAGCCATAGCTCTACTTCAGGCTTTTTGCTGGCTAATTGTAGATAAGATTGTCATGTACTTGCTGCCCACACTGGCTTGGAACTGTGATCCTCAGATCTCAGCCTCCTGAGTAGCTTAAGATTACAGGTATGATCTATGGGTGTCTGGCTCTCCATGACACTTTTGTCTCCAATCAACCAACAAAAGGACTGAAATGGGGGGTGGCTCAAGGAGTAAAGTACTAACCTTAAGCAAGAAAAGTGAAAGTCCTAGGCTCTGAGTTCAAGCCCCAGTTCTGACATTAAAAAATAAAGCCAGGCACGGTGGCTCACGCCTGTAATCCTAGCTACTGAGGAGGCTGAGATCTGAGGATCATGGTTCAAAGCCAGCCCAAGCAGGAAAGTCCATGAAACACTTTTTTTTGTCAGTCATGGGGCTTGAACTCTGGGCCTGGGCGCTATCCTTCAGTTCTTCAGCTCAAGGCGAGCACTCTACCACTTGAGCTACAGCGCCACTTCCGGTTTTCTGGTGGTTTATTGAAGATAGGAGTTTCACGGTCTTGTCTGCCCGGGACTGGCTCCAATAAACCACCAGAAAACCAGAAGTGGCGCTGTAGCTCGAGTGGTAGAGCCCTAGCCTTGAGCTGAAGAGCTGAGGGATAGCGCGCAGGCCCAGAGTTCAAGGCCCACAACCGACAAAAAAATAAAAACAGGATGAAGTATTCTCTTATTTTTGTTTGCAATTTTCATTTAAAATGTATAATATTTAAAACTCATTGCCATATAAATATATTTTTTGTCTGTATCTTTGTACGGTTAGTATTATAAAATCTTAACATAAGAAAATTTGTGAAATAGTATTCTGCTACTTTCAGTGATTTTAATTCTTGTCAGTTACATATTATTTTATTCATACATTAGAATCAGTCACATTTCTACACTCAAGACACTTAATATACTAATGTACTGTAAAAACCTTCTGTGTTAGGGTCCACAGTGTTTAAAAAGTAGAAAATTGGCCTGGCACTGGTGCCTCACACCTAAAATCCTAGCTACTCAGGAGGGTGAGATCAGAGGATTGTGGTTGTAAGCCAGCCTGAGCAGAAAAGTCCCCTTGAGAGTCTTATCTCTGATTAACCCTCAAAAAACAAAAGAGGAGCTGTGGCTTAAAATGGTAAAGCACTAGACTGAGCAAAAGAGCTCAGGGACAACACCCAGGTTCTTTTTTTGGGGGGTGGGGGGTATACGGTCGTGGGGCCTGAACTCTGGGCGTGGACGCTGTCCCTCAGCTCTTCGGCTCAAGACTAGCACTCTACCACTTGAGCCACAGCGCCACTTCCGGCTTTTTTTTCCTTTTGCTTAAGTGGTGCTGAGGAATCTAACCCAGGGCCTCTTACCTGTAAGGCAAGCTATCTACCACTGAGCCACCTTCCCAGTCCAGCACCCAGGTTCTGAGTTTCAGTCCCACAACCACCAAAAACTAAAAATAATAATGATAATAATAATTACAAAATTGTATTAAATATTTTGGTACTTGTATTGATGAATTTCCTCAAATAAGTTTATGACTTATTTAATAACTTGTTGCCCGGACTGCAGAATCAGAATATTATAAAAACTGTTAAAAAGAAATCTAGTTATAAGAACTATATTATAAAATGACTGGCTTTTCAAAAATTGTTTATAGATTTCATTATTTATGTGTATTTTCATATTTCACATTTCAATACTACAAAAAGAATTCTCATTTAGTTCTTCCCACATAGAGTAGCATCTCTGTTTTTGAATATTTATCCAGGACATTTCGTTTTACAGAAACCCTAAATAATCAAGTTGCCCTTATTAACACAGTATTTTGTTGAACCGTGGTACTATTAGTAATATAAAGTAAGAGAAGCCCCAGAGAGGTGTTCAGAAAAGGGATTAATGATGCCTTTCTTTTCCCCAGGGCTGGAAAGAGTGACTATGCTGTTCCTAGGGCTGCATAATGTGCGCCAGACATCAATGTTCCCTCGCGACCCCAAACGACTGACTCCTTAGAGAAGGCCTGCTTCGCTCAGGTGTACCTTGGGTACCCAATAGAATAAATGTCTTACTAACATGTCACCATTACTTTTGGGTTAATTTGATATGTTTATTTAAAAGAGACTTTTATAACTTTGGACATGCTGCAATAGGAAATACTTGGACATTTTAATGAGAAATTCATACAGTAATGTTAGAAATTCATATCTCATTACTTCAGTTAATGTTAACAAGTTTTAAACAGTTAAGATTCTGAAGTTTTTATTTTCTACATTATGGTGGCCACAATATTGTCTTAAATTTTCAATACTTGAAGTTTTTATTAAACTTTTAACGTTGACATAAAATGATTGGAGAAATGACTAAGCTTTTAACAAATATGTAGCTGATATGTAATGGACAAGTTAGAAAGGATCAATTCTTAAAAGTTATACCTAGAAATCATGTAAAGCAGATGAAAATCCTGCTAAAAATATGCAAAACAGTACTGTATTGTTAAATTCTAAACTTGAATTTCAATAAAATTTTAAAGCTAACTTATAGTTTGTATAACTTTGTGGTAATATGATCTTATAACTAGTTATTTGCATTTATACTTCAAGAATTAAATGTAGATAAACTGGCTTTATATAAATGCCTAAAACCAAATGAAAACTAGTAAGTTTTTAACACATATTCATATCAAGATAAAAGTTCAAGTGAGTGTAAAGGTAGAGTTCTTAAAGCAAAAAGCTTGGGTTGATTAATAGAGTTCATTTTTTAGGAATTAAAAATATTGCAATATCCTGTTTCATTCTTCACTGGTAATAGTACTTAGAGCTTGTCACTAAAATGTATCCTCATCTTCTCCACCAAAAAGAAGTTTCTATGTAAGAATTAACAGTAATTCATTCTAGATTGTTAATATGTATTGATGTTCATATTAGTTCCACAGTAAACAAAAAAGTGTAATACAGATATTGATTTTAAAATACTCAAAAAAATAGGATAACAAAAAAGTAGCAAGTTATTTGTGAACCATAAGTATCTGACCATTATTTTCAGAAATTTATTTCACCATCTAAATTGGCAGTTTGGCTAGGTTCTAGTGGCTCACACCTGTAATCCTAGCTACTCAATAGCCTGAGATCTGAGGATGGCAGTTCAAAACCAGCCCAAGCAGGAAAGTCCATAAGACTCTTATTTCCAGTTAACCACCAGAAAACCAGAAGTGGAGCTGTGGCTCAAAGTGGTAGAGGACTAGATTTGAGCAAAAGGATCTCAGGAATAGCACCCATGCCTTAAGTTGAAGCCCCATGACCAGCTAACTAAATAAATAGAGAGGTAGCTCGTTGAGAACTGAAATTTGGTTTTTTTTTCTTTTTGTGGGGAAGGGAAATGATACTGGAGTTTGAGCTCAGGGCCTTACCTAACAACTTGAGCCATGCCTCCAGCCCTTTTTTATTTAGTTATTTTTCTGATAGGGCTTCAATTTTTTCTCAGGGACCAATGTAAAACTGGAGTCCTATCTATGTCCTCATTGATTGAAATGAGGTCTTGCTAACTGCCTAGGCTAGCTTCAAACTTAAGGCCTCCCAATCTAAACCTTCTATAAATATCAGAAACTCAACTTTTTTGACTCTCTTTCATATCATACTAGGGTTTATACAGTATAGTAGACACTGCAGAAGTATTTCCTAAATTTAATCCACACTAAAAATAAGATGGACTGCTTGCTATTTTTTTACATGGTATAATTCCCAGCTTCTAAAATAATAGTGGCTTTAGTTATTGTAGTCAGTTTTATATAATTTTTCTTTCAAAATAAGTACTTATAAGGTCTCAAAATAACTTTATTTTAAAACATTTTAAACATGCTAACCAGATTAAGTCATGATAAAATAGAGAATGGACATCCGTGTTCTCACCAAATCTTAGCATTATATTTGTTTCAAATACTTTCTTTTTTTTGTTTGGGAAAGGGTTTTGTTACTGCTGAGGGTCTCATAGAGGGGTTGTTTGTTTGTTTTGTGATAAATGGACTCATAGACACTCTACCATGGCAAATGTACCACCAGCCCTTCTTTCTCCAGTTACTTTTGAGATAGGGTCTCATTTGTGTCAGTTATTTTTGAGATAGTGTTTCATTTGTAGCTTGGACAATGATTTTTCTATTTATACTTCCCCCAGCATAGCTGGGTTAACCGGCAAACAAACACTCCCAAACCCAATTATTTGTGTGGGGGGGGGGGGGTCTCATAAACTTTTTGCATAGGCTAACCTCAAATAATAATCTTCCCAGTCCCTGCCTTCCAAACTGATAGGTTTATTATAGCATGAGCCACCTGCCCAACTTGTCTGCCTTCTGGTGGTGGTAGTATGCACATATGAGCATGTGCATATGCTTTGAGGCTTGAAAGATCCTAGACACTGTCTCTTGTGCTTTTGTGCTCAAGGTTAGCATTGTACCACTAGAGCCACAGCCTCCACAATTGGCTTATGAAAGAATAGGTTGTAGGATAGAAGATAGGGGCTTAACATTAGTTTTTACATGCTGACAACAGAAATCAGTTGATCCTTCAAGGATGGCATCATCCCTGGAAGAAACAAACCATTTTTTAGGAAGTTGATAATTATGGGCACTTCCAATCTGTAAGGGACAGACTAAACTCAACATACATTCTAGCTATAGGTTTTCTTTTCCTACCTGTGAAACCTCATCTAGCAGCAATATTCAGAGGTTTACAAAACTTGATGCACCAATGTGGAATCTCATACCAGAGTTCAAACTGCATCTTCTAATTCTAGAAAGCCATGGCTTTGTAGAGTTAGTAGTAGAGTGCCCATAGGATCTACTGATTGAGGAGCCCAGCTTTTGGTTAAACACTTGTGTGCGATTTTTTTTTTTTTTTAAGGCTTGACCATGGATGATCATAAAGCCATTTCTTGGCATGTTGTCGTATCCACTACCACACTTAGTTCACAGCCCTTGCACCATGATCTTTGAAGAGGGTTATATTCAAAGACTTAGGCTCTCCGGGCTGGTCATGCTCTGTGGATACTTATATTCCTGGCCCTGGTCCTTTGTTCCTGGATTTCCATCTAAGACTGGGCAGAGATCCTCTACATGCACATCTGCTGAGAACTCCCTGTACAGGGAAGAGGGGGGATCTTGATGGCATTTTTCTCCACTGTAATTCAATACCAACGATGTGTTGCTCCTAATCCTCTCTTCTTACCATAATCCTTATACCAGGGTCAATAAAACTGCCAGAGCATTTTGCCAACTCCCATGTCTTTGCTGAACCAACTAAGGTGGAACACTGTGCTGTTCATGGGAAATGGCTTTCTCTGACTAGACCCCTGCCTTTACTATCACAGAAAGTGATTAAAGGCTTTCCACTTTTCACTTGCTCCCCTTTTGTTTTAATTAACTATTCTGACAGCTCTTTCCCATCTTCACTGACTGACACTTGATTCTATTACATATTGTACCTCCCAGAATCATCATGCCCTACAGAGTGTTAGGCCTTTTAAAGGCTACACCCAGGGCACCACCTTGAAGATGTTGCTGTGGAAGGAGAGGATACCAACTCTAACCCAGCAACCACTTTAAAATATATAGTCTTTATTAGGTAGAGTACAAGGATCCAAGATGATAGGTGGAAGGAGTTGCCCTGCTTATCATCTCTTCCAGTGAATGATCACTTGAGAAATTTGTTTTTCCTTCCCCACAGCTGTTGGCTTGAGGATCAAGGTGTTTGGGTTCCTGGAGGGTTAACACTTCCACCTGGAGATACAGGCAGAGCACCTGAAAACGTGAAGCTACAGCTGCCATTTGAGGTTTTCCTTGCCTGATACCAACGGGCAAAGAAAAGAATCACTATACTTGAAGGTGTAACCTAATCAGCAGGGAGAGGGTTACAAGATGGGAGTAGGGGGAAATGTGTAACACCCAGATAATCTAGTAAGGCTTCTCACATAACCATCAACTATTTTTGACAGTTGATAGACCATTCATAGCCTGGTTGACACAAAGAAGTCTCAGGCTCTCAGGAATGAATGCCTCTCTCTCCTCTCCCCCCTCCCTCTCCTGCACTCTCATTCTCTCCACTTTCTTTCCCTCTGTTCTCTCTCTCTCACCTAGACTAGGCTCTGAGGAATGAAGGCCTGCCTACCTGCCTCTTCTCTCTCTCTCTTTTTTTTTTGGGGGGGGGGTCTGGTCATGGGGCCTGAACTCTGGGCCTGGGCGCTGTCCCTCAGCTCTTCAGCTCAAAGCTAGCGCTCTACCATTTGAGCCCCAGCGCTACTTCCGGCTTTTTTGCTTATGTGTTGCTGAGGAGTCGAACCCAGGGCCTCGGGCATGCAAGGCAAGCACTCTACCACTGAGCCACCTTCCCAGCTCCCCCCCCTTCCTCCCTCCCTCTCTGTCTGCTCTCAGGAATGAAGGCCTACCTGCCTGCCTGCCTCTTCTCGCTCGCTCGCTCGCTCACTCTCTCTCTCTCATACACACACACAAACACATACACACAGAAAACATGAAAACTACACATAAGGTGACATCTGGAAGTGAGAAGACTACATTACATCCATAAGTAAAGATGGAAATGATAGAGGAGAGAGTCGTGATGACAGAGCTACAGTTGCAGGACTAGAACATTCTACTAACCTTTGTCTTACAAGTTTTTCTAGGAAGAAAGAGGCCAACCAGAATCCTAGAAGTGCTTTACTGAGATGCAGTGGAGTAACTGCCAGGAGCAAGAGGGCCTGAGAAGTGCAAGGGTGGGCTGTGGAGGATGCTATGATGGAAAGTGGCACCGTGGCTCAAGTGATAGAGAATGCTATGATGTATCTACGTGTCAACGAAGAAACCACTTCAGGAACTTGTGAGCTGTTGAGCGCTCATAGCCATATCTCTCGATGGGAAATGCTCGACAAAAAGAAGCTGATTCACTCTGAGAGATCCTCCCTCCCTAAAGGCAGCCCATATCTATTGCTAGTTAATGCTGGTCCAAAGGCCCCCAGCCTCATGTTGAGCAACCTTGAAGGGTTGTGCAAGGAGGGGACACACAATTGGATAAAGATCATCCAGTGCTGTCTGTGGCCTCCACTGAGGAATTTGCAGCAACTGCATGGCATTGATTTCTCCTAGGTACTGAGAGAACCTCCGAAGAAATCTGCACACAAATCCCTGTCTCAGATGCTAAGAGTTAGCACCCTTTGTGTGAAATGCAACAGAAGCACATGGGCAAGCCATGAAGGAACTACCCACTGAACTGAATTGATGCAAGCTTGCAAGCTGCCCTCGGAAGCTACTGCCATACACATAATTAATGCCTCGTTTCCTCCCTTTTTATGTTAACGAGGAAAAAAACATTGCAGCAGCTAAAATGACCATAATGCTAGCTGAGGGTATAGGCTTTCTGGTGAATAGTTTGGCAATACATATTAAAAGTGTTAAGCCTGGGCTAGGAAGGTGACTCAGTGGTAGAGTACTTGCCTTGCATGCATGAGGCCCTGGGTTCGATTCCTCAGCACCACATAAGCAGAAAAAAAA